GGCATGAAATTTAACCTGAGTTGCATCTATGAGATATCTGTTAATGAACCCAATATCACCGACTTGTCTTTTCTTCAATTCGGCGATCTTCAATCTGCATAATATAGCGAGGATGATTATAAATACATGCAATGAAAGAGCTGAGCTATATAGAGAAACTTAATGACAGAAGTAGTACTACTTACAGACAGTAGCAGGCGACTGTTGATTTATCGAGGGCCAATTGATTGAAAAACTGATAGAACTCCTCAAATGGAACAGGCAACAGTTCAATTCCAATGAGGTCATGCTCCTTTTTTATTTTCACATACAAAGTACTCCTCCCCCAGAGTCTCTACAGATTTTCAAGTACCAATCATGCAATCTTCGCATCATCGTTGATAGAGATCTTTCATCTTTGACGAGAGGCTTCCCGTACTTGTATCTTTTTATCTGCACCTCCAGGTGTTCATAATGTACATCGGCGGGCAGGTAATCTGCAAGATTGCTATAACCGGGCACCATCCTCGGATCATTAGCGACGTTGTGGCTAGGCACCTTGAACGGGGGGCACGATTGCTTCGCTTGTTCGACGAGCTAGGCAATTTGTTTCCCAGCTCGTCGTTCTTTCAGCCTTTGATCACTGACAGTACTTACCGACCACTCCACTTCGGCAAATTCCTTTCCAATAATGCGCTCATAGTTTCTTTTCGGCGGAGACTTGGGTGGTTTTGTCAGGGCAGCCAGAGTGTGCTTCGCTTTCACCGGATCTACCTTCTCCTCCAGAAGTGGATGTCTCTTTGCTTTCAACCCTTGAAACCAGTCATCTACTTCGGTTCGTGCGATCTCGGCGTTCTCCTTTGGGGTCCTCTCGTATGGTAACTTCTCTGGAGTCTTCAGAGAAGGACCGAATCTGTATGTCTTCCCGCCTCTGGCTGTACTGCTAGACGCCGGCCGAGCAAATGGAGCGGTTGTCTTCTTTACTTGCTTACGAGGCGGAGGAGAAGGACTACGACGCGCCGGAGCAGCCGAGCGGCGGCAGGTCTCTTCCGCCCTTGCTGACGAGGCGGAGAAGGAGGAGGCTGGCTGCTCGGGAGCGTCGGCATAGGCGGAGAAGGAGGCGGAGTGCCGCCACACGCTGGAGAAGGAGCCGGTCGAGTGGCCTGATCGTCACTCGCCGGAGGAGGAGGCGGTGGAGGAGGCGGAGTGCCCTGACTTGCCGGAGGAGGAGGAGGAGGTGGAGGCGTCCAGTTCGGAAGGTTGAAGAGCTCCTTCCGCCATAGGCATGGAGTCTTTAGAGCAGACCCCAGCCTATTCTCCCCTTCACCGGTAGGGTGGTCAAGCTGGAGGTCCTCAAATCCCTCCGTTATTTCATCCACCATCACCCTAGCATATCCTTCTAGAATCGGCCCGCAGTGAAAAGTTGCACCGGGTTCAGTAGGATAAACAGAGCCAACAGCCGCCTTGACCTTCAAATTCGTCCATTGCGTCATAAGGTGGCAATTTTGAGACTCCGTGATAGCATCCACGGCACAGCTGGTAGGAGCCGTCAAGGCATGCTCCGGCTGAAGGAGCTCGGTGGAAGCCACGCTGCTTCTCCGCTGAGATGGCGGGGTAGCTTCGGGGGAAGCTTCGGCAGTACGTTTGCTGCGATTTGCTTCTCATTCCTCTATCGCTTGTACCCTTGCTTGTAGCGCCTGCGTTTGGGTCTGCTGCACTTTTTTCCTTCTCTCATGGGATTTGTAACTGCCTGCGTCCGGAAACCCAACCTTCCATGGAATGGAGCCTGGCGTGCCTCGTGTCCGTTCTGGGTGCTCAGGATTCCCGAGGGCCATTGTGAGCTCGTCGTTCTCTTTGTCTGGAAAGAACGTCCCTTGCTGCGCTGCTTCGATATAGTGCTGAAGCTTTCTGACTGGTATGTCCATTTGATCGTTCGTCCAAATGCACCTCCCTGTTACAGGGTCCAAGGTTCCGCCAGCCCCGAAGAACCAAGTCCGGCAACGGTCTGGCCAGTTAACTGTCTCTGGTTCGATCCCTTTATCAACCAGATCATTCTCAGTCTTGGCCCACTTAGGCCGGGCTATGAGGTAGCCACCTGACCCCGTGCGATGGTGATGCTTCTTCTTTCGCAGCATTTTGCTTGTTTGTCACTGACATCTTCTTACACTTTTCTGATCTCTTGTGGGCCACAAATGCGGGCCAGTGATCTCTGATCTTCTCATATCTGCCCTTGAATTCTGGTGTCTCATTATTTTCGACAAACTTATTCAGCTCTTTGTTCCACCTCCTGAATAGTTCTGCCATCCTCTTAAGAGCAAAAGACTTGATTAATTGCTCTTTAACTGGCTTCTCTGGATTATCCTCTTGCGGTAGGGTGAAATTTGACTTCAGCTCAGTCCAAAGATCATTTTTATGCATATCATTGACATAAGACACTTCAGGGTCTTCTGTAGCCGGCTTAAACCATTGCTGGATTCTGATCGGGATCTTGTCCCTAACCAAAACCCCGCACTGACCAACAAATGTGCTCTTTGTCCGGAGGGGTTCAATCGGTTGGCCGTCGGGCGCGATTGCTATGATCTCAAACTTTTCATCCGAGCTCAACTTTTTCTTCGGGCCTCGTCTCTTTACCGAAGTTGTGCTTGATCCGGAGGGCTAGTAAAAAGAACAAAGACTTAATTAATATGTGTACATACCAAAACAATCAATGCATCAATTAGCTAGTCAGCAGAAGCTTAACTAATATATATACCTGGCCGGACTCGGTTCGGTCACTGGAGACGTCATCACGGTCTCCTTCTTGCACCGACATTGGGTCACCGGAGCCGTCCTCACGGTCTCCTTCTTGCACCGGCATTAGGTCACCGGAGCCATCATAATTAGCTGCCTCCAGACCATCGGTCTCGTTGAGAAACAACAAGCAGATGGCATCACTTCCTCGTGCGATTATGTCCCCCAACAACTCTTCTTGTACTTCGTCTCGGGCGGTGTCCATAGTTTCTACAAATATTGACAACATGGCAATTATTATTCAAACATAACAGATGGATATATTAGTGGCAAAAACGTAGAACTAATATTAATTAGTGGCCTCGACGCTGCTTCTATAGGGTTTGGGGTGGCCTCGACGCTGCTTCTCTAGGGTTTGGGGTGGCCTCGACAACGCTTCAAGGATAAAAAAAGAAGAGGAAAAAAAAGAGGATAAGAAAGAATAGAGGAGTAAGAACTCCTCTATTCTTTCTTCTCCTCTTTTTTTCTTCTTCTTCCTCTTTTTTTATCGGGAACGAGGGTCGTCGAGGGTCACCGAGCGATAGAGGAAACCCTAAATAGCAAGTATCATGGGTGTGAGATACATGTGGCCGTCGGTGTCGGACACTACATCCACGTCCCACAAGTGACGTGGGCGTCGAAGCCCGCGCCACTTGTGGGACGTGGATGTAGTGTCCGACACCGACGGCCACATGTATCTCACACCGACGATACTTTCTATTTAGGGTTTCCTCTACCGTTCCGCGACCCTGACCCTCGACAACCCTCGTTCCCGATAAAATAAAGAGGAAGAAGAAGAAACAAAAAAGAGGATAAGAGAAGAAGAAGAAAAAAAAGAGGATCCTTTTTTTCTTCTTCTCCTCTTTTTTTTCTTCTTCTTCCCTTCTTCTCTTTTTTTTTCTTCTTCTTCCTCTTTATTTTATCGGAAACGAGGGTCGTCAAAACCATAGAAAGAATAGAGGCTGCCTAGTGTCAAAGGATTCAACAAAACCATGTCTTCATCATTAGGCAAAAGTAACACGTGCATGATCGTACGAAGCTCTCCAAAGTTATTTTGGAACGGAGTCCCAGATAAGATAATTCGCTTTTTGGTACAAAGTTCCGGTTCTTACACCAACCGAGACAGATGGGGCTCCAGGTGGCCGCTACGGCTTGCCGTGGCAGGGGGGCCTTTCGTCCCGGTTGGTAGCACCAACCAGGACCAATAAGCTACCACGCGTCAGCATTTGAGGGGCTAGGGTTTTTGTTTTTTTTCTGAAGGGGGGGGGTTGTATGGTTAATTTTGGGGGGTTTCATATATTGTGTTAGGTAGCTAATTAATTAATAGAGAGAAGTGTCCTCACTTATCTTTGTGCTTGGTCAACGCTACGTACTATACGTATAGAGAGGCCCTCGACACGCTAGCCAGTAAGCAAGTTAAGTAAACCATTAAGTACAGAAGTTCGTCATGAACATATGCATACAAACATAAGTGATATCAACCTCTCCTTCTCCGAGAGATAGGTCGAACAACAAGTTTCCGTATATCTGTCCGGCGCTACTAGCTACATATATACAATATTAAGATCTCTTACAATATAATCCCCTAATTATATATGAACTCAGCTTCCAGATGGTATTCTTCGGCTTTATTGATGACGTGGTCAAGAAAGAATCCCTCCAATTCCTCTTGACTTGCTTTGATGCGATCTTGTGGTAGGAGTTCATCCCGCATCTGCCACATCTAATTTGACGAAGGTGTCAATCACTAGTAGAATAACAGCCATTTGACCTGGTTCGTAAGGTTCATTTGTCCCGGTTGGCGAACCGAGACTAAAGGGTCGTTACTAAAGCCCTACACCTTTAGTGCCGGTTCTTACACCAACTGGGACAGATGGGCCTCCACGTGGCTGCTGCGGCGAGCCCAGGCCGGAGGTCCTTTGGTCCCGGTTAGTGGCACTGATACGTCTCCAACGTATCTATAATTTTTGATTGCTCCATGCTATTATGTTGTCTATTTTGGATGTTAATGGGCTTTATTTTACACCTTTATATCATTTTTGGGACTAACCTACTAATCGGAGGCCCAACCCAAATTGTTGTTTTTGCCTATTTTAGGTTTTCGAAGAAAAGGAATATCAAACGGGGTCCAAACGGAATGAAACCTTCGAGAACGTGATTTTCTCAATGAACATGATCCAGGAGACTTGAAGTGTGCGCCAAGAAACAAGGGAGGAAGGCACGAGGCAGGGGGGCGCGCCTACCCCCTTGGGCGCGCCCTCCACCCTCATGGGCCCTCCGCTGCTCCACCGACGTACTTCTTCCTCCTATATATATCCACGTACCCCCAAACATCCAGGAGCACCACGAAAACCTAATTCCACCACTGCAACCTTTTGTACCCGAGAGATCCCATCTTGGGGCCTTTTCCGGAGGTCCACCGGAGGGGGCATCGATCACGGAGGGCCTCTACATCAACTCCATGGCCTCTCCGGTGATGTGTGAGTAGTTTACTTCAGACCTACGGGTCTATAGTTATTAGCTAGATGGCTTCTTCTCTCTCTTTGGATCTCAATACAAAGTTCTCCTCGATTTTCTTGGAGATCTATTCGATGTAACCTTCTTTTGCGGTGTGTTTGTCGAGATCCGATGAATTGTGGGTTTATGATCCAGATTATCTATGAACAATATTTGATTCTCCTCTGAATTCTTTTATGTATGATTGGTTTATCTTTGCAAGTCTCTTTGAATTATCAGTTTGGTTTGGCCTACTATATTGATTTCTTGCAATGGGAGAAGTGCTTAGCTTTGGGTTCAATCTTGCGGTGTTTGATCCCAGTGACAGAAAGGGAACCGATATGTATTGTATTGTTGCCATCGAGGATAAAAAGATGGGGTTTATATAATATCGCATCAGTTTATCCCTCTACATCATGTCATCTTCCTTAAAGCATTACTCTGTTCTCTTGAACTTAATACTCTAGATGCATGCTGGATAGCGGTCCATGTGTGGAGTAATAGTAGTAGATGCAGAATCGTTTCGGTCTACTTGTCTCGGACGTGATGCCTATATACATGATCATACCTACTTAATTCTCATAACTATGCTCAATTCTGTACAATATGGTGCACGGGGTTACATCGGCCTGCAAAGACATTTCTGCAATGTGAGACATCCGAAAGGCAACAAAAATGGGAGATTATATATTTATTGAAGAGGGCCGGTGTGACAGATACCGTGAGGGCGTCGAGCTCAGCCAAAGATGAAGCACCGCTGAGCACGTCCGGTGTCGGAGCCGGTGCCGGATCAGGTGCCTCGTGACGTCCGGGATTTCATCCGGGACTCCGAACAACTTTCGGGTTACTGCATACTAATATCTCTACAACCCTAGAATCACCGAACCTTAAGTGTGTAGACCCTACGGGTTCGGGAGACATGCAGACATGACCGAGACGCCTCTCCGGTCAATAACCAACAACGGGATCGGGATACCCATGTTGGCTCTCACATGCTCCAAGATGATCTCATCGGATGAACCACGATGTCGAGCATTCAATCAATCCGTATACAATTCCCTTTGTCAATCAGTACGTTACTTGCTCGAGACTCAATCGTCAGTATCCCAATACCTCGTTCAATCTCGTTATCGGCAAGTCACTTTACTCGTACCATAATGCATGATCCCGTGATCAACCACTTGGTCACATTGAGCTCATTATGATGATGCATTACCGAGTGGGCCCAGAGATACCTATCCATCATACGGAGTGACAAATCCCAGTCTCGATTCATGCCAACCCAACAAACACTTTCGGAGATACCTGTAATGTACCTTTATAGTCACCCAGTTACGTTGTGACGTTTGGCACACCCAAGGCACTCCTACGGTATCCGGGAGTTGCACAATCTCATGGTCTAAGGAAATGATACTTGACATTCGGAAAAGCTACAGCAAACGAACTACACGACCTTTGAGCTATGCTTAGGATTGGGTCTTGTCCATCACATCATTCTCCTAATGATGTGATCCCGTTATCAATGACATCCAGTGTCCATAGCCAGGAAACCATGACTATCTTTTGATCAATGAGCTAGTCAACTAGAGGCTCACTAGGGACGTGTTGTGGTCTATGTATTCACACATGTATTAGATTTCCGGATAACACAATTATAGCATGAACAATAGACAATTATCATGAACAATGAAATATAATAATTACCATTTTTTATTATTGCCTCTAGGGCATATTTCCAACACCTACGTACCCCCAAACGATCATATACGGAGCCAAAACCCTAATTCCACCGCCGCAACTTTCTGTATCCACGAGATCCCATCTTGGGGCCTGTTCCGGAGCTCCACCAGAGGGGGCATCGATCATGGAGGGCTTCTACATCAACACCATAGCCTCTCCTATGAAGTGTGAGTAGTTCACCTCAGAACTACGGTTCCATAGTTATTAGCTAGATGGCTTCTTCTCTCTTTTTGGAACTCAATACAATGTTCTCCCCCTCTCTTGTGGAGAACTATTCGATGTAATCTTCTTTTTGCGGTGTGTTGGTAGAGACCGATGAATTGTGGGTTTATGAGCAAGTCTATCTATGAATAATATTTGAATCTTCTCTGAATTCTTTTATGTATGATTGGTTATCTTTGCCAGTCTCTTTGAATTATCCGTTTGGTTTGGCCTACTAGATTGATCTTTCTTGCAATGGGAGAAGTGCTTAGCTTTGGGTTCAATCTTGCAGTGTCCTTTCCCGGTGACAGTAGGGGCAGCAAGGCACGTATTGTATTGTTGCCATCGAGGACAACAAGATGGAGTTTTCATCATATTGCATGAGTCTATCCCTCTACATCATATCATCTTGCTTAAGGCGTTAATCTGTTTTTAACTTAATACTCTAGATGCTAGCTGGATAGCGGTTGATGAGTGGATTAATAGTAGTAGATGCAGGCAGGAGTTGGTCTACTTGTCTCGGATGTGATGCCTATATACATGATCATACCTAGATATTCTCATAACTATGCTCAATTTTGTCAATTGCTCAACAATAATTTGTTCACCCACCGTATAATACTTATGCTCTCGAGAGAAGCCACTAGTGAAACCTATGGCCCCCGGGTCTATCTTTATCATATTAATCTCCTACTACTTAGTTATTTCCTTTGCTTTTTACTTTGCCTTTATTTCACCTTGAATCTTTATCACAAAAATACGAAAAAAATTATCTTTATCATATCTATCAAATCTCACTCTCGTAAGTGGCCGTGTAGGAATTGACAACCCCTATTCGCGTTGGTTGCGAGGATTTATTTGTTTTGTGCAGGTACGAGGGACTCGCGCGTAGCCTCCTACTGGATTGATACCTTGGTTCTCAAAATCTGAGGGAAATACTTACGCTACTTTGCTGCATCATCCCTTCCTCTTCGGGGAAAACCAACGCAGTGCTCAATTGGTAGCAAGGGTTCCTTTTTGTCGACGATCCGATGTTTCAACCTTGTTTTCCAGGCGGCCAACGCGTCGCTAAACTTGGTGATGGTGCGTTTGTTTATCTTCTGCATTGCCAGGTCCTTATCTGGATCTTTATTTTCCTTTTCATTGCGGTCCGGGAACAAGAATATTTGGTGCAACTTCTTTAGGAGGGAAGGCCTCATATTATCTATCTTCTGTAGTTTCCCATTGTTGATCGTGGCAGTTGTCCATATGATGCAACCTATTTGATTGTCGTAGCACAATCGCGCTTCCTCGGGCGCTATTGTCTCAAAAATACCGTCGTCCATCTCCGTGACCACCAGTCTAGTACTCATGAGCTGGTTTCGGCGCCGTGGCCTCTTTGCTTTCGGTTCTAGACCAGCTCCGCTAGTCTCGGCGCTGGTCTCAGTCTCATCGCCGGTCTGCATGTCGGTATCAGTCCCCGATGCGACAGCACAGTCGCTGCAACATGGGTAAGGGAGACCACATCAGTGCTGGGGGGTCTGAAAATCGGGACACACTTTCGCGCGTCGCGGGCCGCCTCTCAGACAGCTACTGGGGAGGCGGCGGAGTACCTAGGTGCGCGGCGAATCCCCGGGAACTCGGTGACCAACTTCCTTCCCATGTGGCGCATGGAGACGACGGCGACCCCGGCGAAGAGCAGCTTAGCCGCGAGCTGCACAGCCTCGTCCACCTCCTAAGTTGGCACCTCCGCGCGAGCGTTGCGGGGCCGCCGCTCGGATGGCTTCTGGAAGGCGGTTGTACATGGGCACAGGGTGAATTCCGGCAAGAGCAGGCCATTGGCGCACGGAAGTAGACGACGACGTCCTCGACCAAGAGCAGCCCGGCCAGCTCGCCTCACTATCCTTTGATTAGAAATGAAAGATTGGGAAGAAGCAGACTTGAGCCTGCAGGGAAAGGATAAGGTGACGATGCAGTCTCCACTCGTTCGGGGCGACACTCGTATTGAATGTATGAGAAACGTGACGTGGCAGAGACCCCAAGATACTCTCTCCATTTATTTTTAGTCTGCATATAAAGTTTGGTCAAAGTCAAGATTTGTAAATTTTAACTAACTTTATAATAAAAAAATATCAACATTCACAATATGAAATCAATATTACCAGATGCATCATGAAATGTATTTCCATACTATATAGTTTTGGTATTGTAGATGTTCATATCTTTTATATATATGGGAAGTAGAGGCACTCTTCCATATAATGAAGTTCATAATATATGTGCTTATATTGTACTATAATTGTTTGAATAACTTAGCATATGTTCAGATGTATGATATCTGTAATTTAAGCGCTTGAATTTTACATATAAATATTTATTAATAAATATGTACCCCTATAATAGCTAGGCCGTGCAGTTGCACGGGTAGATGACTAGTGATTACAATCTTTTTTGTGTGCAAGTCAAGCTTATCTAGTTTACACGTAACAACTTGTAGAACATTACAAAATTTATGCTTGCTAATAACTTCTAGAACACTACAACACTTGACATGTAAAAGGAATTTGACGAGTCATGGCCTACCAAAGCAAGTTACATTACTAGTCTTATCTATCTTAACAGACCACACAAGATTACAAACTAAGTACCGTGACAGCCATGCTTATCTAGTTTATGCGTAACAATTTGCAGAAAATTACAAACTTAGTTTCAGAAAAATAGGCAATCTAGATTAGTGTTTGAGCTGTAAAGTGAATAAGATGAGTCATGCATGTTATCACACCTTTTTGGTGGTGGAATGATAGTGCAACAACAAGGAACTTTAATGACCAGTCCAAGAATACACTTGTAAGTAGTGCCACCAAACAGAACATACCAAATGATGATTTTGAGAAGCATCCAAGCACTTTCCACACAAACAAATGCCAATTGTGCAAGAGATCATTCCATGGCAGCTATAAATAGCCCCATAGCATGACGATCATCCTTCCTCATCCATCATTCTCATTAGTAGAGCGCATCATTTAAGCCAAGCAAGTTGTGGTCAATACCAAATCCACCATGAAGACCTTTCTCATCCTTGCCCTCCTTCCTATCGTGGCGACGACCGCCACAACTGCAGTTAGAGTTCCAGTGCCACAATTGCAGCCACAAAATCCATCTCAGCAACAGCCACAAGAGCAAGTTCCATTGGTACAACAACAACAATTTCTAGGGCAGCAACAACCATTTCCACCACAACAACCATATCCACAGCCGCAACCATTTCCATCACAACAACCATATCTGCAGCTGCAACCATTTCCGTAGCCGCAACTACCATATTTGCAGCCACAACCATTTCGACCACAACAACCATATCCACAACCGCAACCACAATATTCGCAACCACAACAACCAATTTCACAGCAGCAGCAGCAGCAGCAACAACAACAACAACAACAACAACAACAACAACAACAACAACAACAGCAAATCCTTCAACAAATTTTGCAACAACAACTGATTCCATGCATGGATGTTGTATTGCAGCAACACAACATAGCGCATGGAAGATCACAAGTTTTGCAACAAAGTACTTACCAGCTGTTGCAAGAATTGTGTTGTCAGCACCTATGGCAGATCCCTGAGCAGTCGCAGTGCCAGGCCATCCACAATGTTGTTCATGCTATTATTCTGCATCAACAACCATCGAGCCAGGTCTCCTTCCAACAGCCTCTGCAACAATATCCATTAGGCCAGGGCTCTTTCCGGCCATCTCAGCAAAACCCACAGGCCCAGGGCTCTGTCCAGCCTCAACAACTGCCCCAGTTCGAGGAAATAAGGAACCTAGCGCTACAGACGCTACCTGCAATGTGCAATGTCTACATCCCTCCACATTGCACCATCGCGCCATTTGGCATCTTCAGTACTAACTGAGAAGAAAATAACTCTAGTACTAGATATATGAAACACCGTTTTCTCGGTCCATGGTTTGGTCGTTGTAGCGGTGAAAAAATAATGGGACATGCACTATCATGTAAGAACCCAAACTATACTAGTTCAAACTTGGGAATAAAAGACAAACACAGGTCTTGTCTACATATTTATGTTGCATCTATTTATATATTAAAAGTAATATAAGGTGAACCAGGAGCAAGGTAAATATGCTAGAAAATTGCACGTTAATTAGAAATTACTAGCCCTCAATCCGGTAAATCTTAACAAATAGAATTATCTTGACCGTTAGATTTATGTAACATATATAATGCTCTGGGCCTCCAACGACTGTACGTGACACATCTGAACGCACATATGTTAAAGAAAATATATTTGGTAAATGGTGGGCCTCTTTAAAAAGAGAACTCGCGTACATGCACCAACTAAGAAAAACACATACATGTAAACGCGAAAAGGATGAGATTTTCTCACGTACGTGCTCCCTGGCTCCACCCCGTTGAAAAAATATATATCTGGAGGCCACTTTGTTTCCTCATCAAAAAAAAAACTTACGTTAAAAAGATTGCATGCATCCCAGGGAAAATAGTCAAGAAGAAGTCGGACTCTTCCTTACAAAAACAAGGAACGTGTTAAGTTGACTTCAAAGAAAAAAGGAACATGTTAAGTTAAAAAAAAAAGAAACCTGTTAAGTTAGAAAAAAACAAGGAACGTGTTGTCCTAGGAAAGATATGTGTCAAATCTTACAACAAAAAAGAATACACACACGTACGTTCATGCACTTGGAAAATAGAAAAAAAAGGAACATCACGTATGTATACACTTTGGAAACTCATTACATGACCATGTCTGATATACTCCTCTAATGCTTAATATTAGTGCCTAATAATTTATATTTAAAATTTAATTTACTGATCAAATATCCCCACTGTTTAAATTTTAATTTGGCACATTGTTTGGCTATAGTATGAACCTAAATTTCCTCTTAATATTATATATCATGGTAATAATTCAAAGGCGACTAATCTGCGCCGGTGCGCCGGCGCAGATTAGTCGCCTTTGGATTATTACCATGATATATTTGATCAGGAAATTTAAACAGTGGGGATATTTGATCAGTAAATTTAGGTTCATACTATAGCCAATCAATTCGGCCGGACACAGCGCGGCCGTCTCATTAGATTGCATTTAACCGTCAGATCTGGAATCGTTTTCTTTTCAATTAAACGGATTCAACCAAACAGCAGAGGGGAAAACAAAGCAGCGCCGCCGCCAACAGTAGCCATGGACGACCGATGTAGCAAAACCTTGAAGAACCACCGCCGGTCGCCACCCTCGCCGCTGGTCGCCGCCCTCGCCGTCGGTCACCGCCGGTCGCCGCCTGCGTTTCTCATCGGCTTCATGCATGCAACAACATGCACTCGTGGTTGCAGGCTTGCAGCTCCGGCTCCGGGGGACATGGCCGCATCTCCGGTAGCGCTGGCCGCCGGCAGCAGCACCTGTCGTTGTGGTCGCGCTGTACCTCGCCGTGTGCCCTCCCGAGGCTCTTGCTGGTTCCAACAAAAAACGATACCTGTTGTAGCAAAAAAGTTTATCGCTTCCAGCAAAAAAGCTTACCGCTACAGCCCGCCATCGTCATTGTAGCAAAAATGTTAACCCGATGTAGCTTCTGTGGTTGCCGACTGCAGCAAAAAATGACGTGGTTGTAGCAAAACACAAAAGAAAAACGCCGGCCGTCCGCTGTGTATGGTGGTAACAAACCCTATAGCCGGTGGTAGCGAAAAACTTCATTGTTTGCAGCAAAAAAATGTTGTCGCCCGTCGTCGAGGTTGCATCATCTTCATGAATTATGTCGCAAAAAAACGTTGTCGCCGGTAGTAGCAAATGAAGCCGCCGGTAGTAGCAAAACAAGACACTGGTTCCAGCCAAAAAAATCAGCGACAGAACCTTTGGTTGGTTCCAACAAAAAAACTTGTCGGTTGTAACATCCCTCGCCGCCGGATGTAGCATCTCCCAGGGCTGGTTGCAACACTCGATAAAAAAAGTTGTCTATGAGCGCATCCATGGCAACTGCTGCAGCGTCAGCAACGAGGGGAAGAGGAGGCAATGAAAATCGTTCGAGTCATAGCTCCACAGGACGCGGCTGCAGCATGGGGAGTCCAAAAATCTGTCACAAGCAACATGCGCCTCGCCATCCTCCTGCGCAGGAGAGAGAAGAAAAAGGAATAAGAGGAAGAAGAAAGGAAACGGGAGAAAGAAAAAACGAAACGATTGGTGGTGGGCTCAGGCAATTAGTCAAACAAGGGGCACGCGGGGGCCGCAGGATACAGCGCAATCGAACGAAGCGCGCGCGTCCGGCCGAAGACTCAGCCGGACTGCCGGCTGGAAATGTTTCCCTGATACAAAGGCTTTGTCTGAATGACAAGTCGTCTAAGTTATCGGCTAACTAGAAAAAAGATAAATATGCTAGATAATTCCATAATAATTAGAAATATCTAGCCTTTAGTTATGTAAATCAGAAAATCACAACCGTTGGATTTACTTTAAAGGTAAATTTCTCTAAATTCCCACCATTGCCAGTATGTAGAAACATGTGCTGCTTCAATTCTCCCTTAATCACCAATCAATCAACAACAGAAAACATACCTCAGTTAAAAAAACTGAACAAAAAAAAGAAAAAAAGAAGAAAGGACAAGATACACGCATGTACACGACAGCCTTGGCTTGAAACACATCAGTAGATCAAGTGTCCGCCTCCCTTACACAGAATAAATTCTAGGGAAGAAAATAATAGTGCAACCTAACCTTATACGTACTATTCTATCCTCACGTCCCATGAGGTTTGCTAGCCTACTGCCGCCGCATCATGCCATCCTCTCCTTTCAGCTCCCATGCTCTCCAGCACCCTCCTTGCGGCGCCACTACTCGCCTAGGGATATTGCTGCTCAGACCGTGGAGCTTAACCTGCTTCTTCTTCAGCAAATATGGAACTGCTTTAGGATCCTTCTCACATCAGCACGTATGGGCCTCATTATACTGTAGCTCCTGGACCTCCTACAATTGGTTGGCTATGGCCAGTTGATCGATGTGCTGAAGTCCAGCTCTGTTTGCTGGCACATATGCTTTGGAAATAGGCCACTATGTTTGTACTTCAAAATTGTTTCTGTATTCTTGAGTGGTACATCCTTTTAAGCGCCAGTTTTTTATGTTAATTCATGCTGACAACACTTAACCTAGCCTTTCATGTTCACGTACTAAATACAGGAGCAAGTAAAAACAACAGACCACCTAATTGCTCTGCAGGTTCTACATAGGAAAATTTGTCATGTTCTACGATCGCACCATCCCACCCTTCTCTCTTGGTATGGGCGCCAATTGAGGGATTGATAAAACTGAAACGAAGACGTCACTGGGCTGGAAGTACCGCTAGCCTGGTTCGCACTGCAACCTACCCAACGCCATCAGAAACTAGCAACTGAGGCAGGTGTTGATCTATTCTCTCAAATTGCTCTCATGTAAGTACTACCCCTTGCATGTGCGGACATACCTTTGTTGCATTCTCAAACAGATAGAACATCTATGATCGGTGCATGGCTATTTTTCATCACACGACATCCAGATAAGCATGAAAGGACTACATTGGAGAACAAAAAATATTGGTTCCTGGCTAGAGTACCACTACCTATGGACTTGTCTCCATAGAATTTGTTCCCAAGATGTTATTTTAATTAACCTCTTTAGCTTTCTTCCATTGCAAACGGTGATGTGCATCATGGTATATACGTGACCATCTTGCACATGTATACACAAGAGGCTCAGACGGAGGTGCTGGATTCTGGACGAGGGAATATGAAGCAGGAGTGAGCGAAGAGTAAATAATGGTGGGAGTACCGATTGGTGTTATGAAGAAAAATGCCATCCAAAGATTGATTAGTGTCATGGAAGATTAATTTCTGAATGCGAATATATATGTTACATTGGTTTGGATCTTTTTGAGATAATTGCACCTAAATTAGGTTCTTTCTTATTTCATATGTATACCTTATTTCAGTAAAAGTTCACAACGAACTTAGTAGGACAAATACAATTTTGTTTGTTCTTTCTGTTGTCCGCCACCAAAGCTCAGTTTGAACTCTCTAGAAATGGACAATGATTTATGCATTCTATATGTTCTTGATTGATTAGCCATGACAAGGAAATAAAAGGATTGACTGATATGGCATAACTTTGGAACGATCTGTTAGTAGAGGTTACTACAAATTAGAGTAGTGTCTGTTGGAATTTTGCTAGTAGGCCTTTGGCCCCCCAACTAAAATTCTGAAATTATCTTGGCTCATTCATGCACACATGTGAGTGGAGTGAGTGAGACTAAAGTTTAGTCCCACCCCGGAAGTTGAGACAGAGTTGCACCTTTTTATAAGGTGAGCTCTTCTACCACTTGTATGAGCATGAGAAGAGGAGACCTATACGCGCGCTCCTCCTCCTCGCTCGCCTTTTGCTGCTCCGGAAAAATTAATGAATCATTAATTAATAATTAATGGACGCATTAATTACTGAACCATTTTCGATTCTTTTGGATCGTGACGACTCGGACGTGGGGTTTACTCCCACGACCTACCCGGCCAACACTATATAGTCAGGCAGACGTCTACCCTAGCCGCCGCTGCTTCGAATGGTTTCTCACCACCGTTACAGATCATTGCACCGCCAAGCAAGTTTTCTCCATCCCTCCTGTCGGCGTGCACCGGGAGAAGGGACAGCAGGCCTCCGGAACCCCGCCTCTCGTGATCCTGTACGGGAGAGGGATGATCAGGTTTTCGGGGAGCGCACTCGCACGACTGCTGGCAGCGACGACTTCGCGAATGACGACTTCTTCCCCGACCTCGGCAACCTCATCCTCGATGACATGGGTGACAACGTCAATGGCGGCGGTGCTACACCTACTGCACCATATGTTATTCTATCCTTCTTGTTCGAGATCG